GGTGTAAGGGACAGAGCTGTGGGGGATTTTTCCTTTCCCCCTTCCCCTCTTTTTTTTCCTTTTGTAAAGCAAAGAAATGCAAAATATAAACCCAAAACAGCCAGCGAAAGGCAAGGAGAGAGGCTGTGTTATCCCTCGTATGTGATACGGGTATTGAGTGAGAAGCACCAGCGAAAGTGTAAATAACACAGTAGTTAATAGGGACCATAAAGGTATTCCTGGCCTGTGGATTTCCAAGTGCCAAGCTGTTTTAGAGAGGATCTTGAATCCTGCGGTAATAAAGGGGCAACGGAGACACACAGCGTCTCTTCTTGGGAAATAGAAACCAGATTTCTGCTATTGAACATCTATTGTCATTAAGAGGAGAGGCTTGTGCTCACGAAGTTATAAATCTTATCACCCTTTTGATAACACAGTTGTAATCAGTTAGCATCGCATTCAAACCCAATTGTAAAACTGCCTAATTTAATATGTCATACATGTCATTAAAACTTTATTTTTCCCACTTCTCTTTTTTCCCCCCCCTCTCTCTACCCATCCCCCCCCCCAAGTAAAATGTCAACAGATCTGGCTGGTAACGTGCAGCAGGGAGAGCCCGAGGTGGCTGCGCTGCTCCGGGGGCGAGCCCGGTGCTATGATGAAGAGGGTTTGCCTTCTTCCCATCTAGGTAATCGGAAGCGTTTCTATCATATTAGAAGTATAGGGAAAAATAATAATAAAAATAGAGGGGGGTGGGAGGCAAGGGAGAGGAAAATGAAATCCTTCTCCTTCCTTCAGAATTGCCATCGCTCAATGAAGTTCTTTGAAAGAAACTTGTCTTATGATTAGCTAAGCAAACACATCTGCTTTCCTAGTTTGGGCTTAGCTAATTATCAAAACAAAGGGGCCGTTTCTTCTTCTACCTTGCTGGAAAGAAGATGTTATTTCAGGAGTCCTGTCCCTCCTCCCCCCCTCCTCATGCACACACACGCAGCCCCTGTCCCAGCCCTTCCCAGAGAAGCACCACGCTCCTTTTATTGGGATTACCGATGGGGAAATGAGTTTGCGCACTCCTCTTCCTAATGTTAAGCTTTATCATTACCTTCCTTGGAACAATATTTTTCCAACCAAATGTCCCTGCGGCTGGGCGGAGGGCGGAGGTGGGCAGTGGAAAGGAGGAGGGGGAAGGTGGTTTTGAATTGCGGACCAACTTCGCAGCTATTTGAATCAAGGCTGCACTCGGTTGATTTTAGTTGACAGAGCGTGTGTTGAAGCTGAACTCTATAATTTGCACTTCTGTTCTTTTATTAGACTTGGACAACGAACTAATGAGCTTTCCCCCAGCACAGTGTCACTTGTATTTATTTTCTTTTGGAAACTTTTAGATAGAAGAAGTGTTCTCGCAAAAGGGCAGAGGTGGAGGAAAGGTTTCGCGTGGTGGCTATTTATTTATTTATTTTCCCGGAGGTGCAGGGATCAACTCTGTGCTTGTGCGGATGTGTCTGTGTGTGTGTGTCCCCGTCCCCGGTGAAAGGCGACCCACGGGTTGTTAGAGGAGGAGAAGCTCCGAGCTGCATGTGTTATCCGGGCGATGCTGCCCTGGGCATGACTCGCGTGGTGGGAAGGTAACGCGGAGGCGATCCCTCGCAAGACACCGGGGAAAAAAAAAAAAAAGAGAGAGAGAGAGAGAGATATAGAAATCATTGGTCCTAAGGCAGAGGCTCCGCGGTGCGGGCTCGCTGCCGTGCGGAGCAAAGCAGTGCGGAGGGCGGTGAGCGGCGTGAACCCAAATTTGATCAGATCTCTGCAGGAACGGGTTAACTTTATAAAATCAAGATGTGGCTTTAAACGCGTACCTGAGAGACGGTGGAAGAAGGGAGTTTTAAAGAAAATAGAAAGGTTTAAAGTATACATATATATTTATATATAAAAGGAAAGGGAGAAAAACCCAGAGGAAGGATTTCCACACAAAAAAAAAAAAGGAGGGCGAAATGTTTGTCACTATGTGCCCACCAACGCATGAAGCTGCATCCATCGCTCGGAGCCTGCTCCATCCGTGCGAGTCGTGAGATATTTTGAATTTTGATTCCAGCGTGTTTTCTTTGAACTGGGCCTTTCGGTTTATTAAGGCAGGAAGAGGAACTCAGCAATCCTCTTTGAAACACGCTTGGTTTAACTATTTTACACAAGTTTGCCCATGTCCCTGGAGATTCTTCAGTTGAAGAAGATTGAAATTAGAGTTAAAAGCTGGCGGGGGGGGAGTGGGGGTGGCGGGGGGGCAAAGGGGTGGAGGGCGAGTGTGGAAGAGGGTGATGAATCTATTGTAAATGCTCTCCTGTATTCTTACGTGTTGGGGAACTGAACAGAAATCTGCGTCGCCTTGTTTGATCCACAGGCGCGCATCTGCCTGTGTGCGGGTGCATGGCACATACTCTATATGTCTACATGCACACACATACATAGGCCACGATTAATATTCTGAGAAATGCGTGAGGAAAAGCTGGTATTTAGCGGCCATACGGAGAAGCGCACACTGCCTGGTTCCCAGCAGCTTCACTCCCAAACTTTGCCTTTTCTTTTGTTTTCTTTTCTTTATTCCTCCCCCCCTTCTTGTAAATTGCTGTTAACGTGTGTCTTTATGTTCTGTCTATAACTAGGATGTAATCAGGCGCCCCATGTCTCTCTCTGAAAGCATTTAATAAATGTCTATTAAAGCGCTACAAATGTAAGATAAATTTAGTGGCGCTGCTGTCTCCCTGTATCCAAACGGTAATGATGGATTTATCAACAGGGATTCGCCTTCAGCGCGGTGAGAAAGATTTACTCAACAAATAAGTCGGAAAAGCACCCACCCAAATACAATCATTTATACGGAAACTGATTTCTTTACAGCACCACAGATTCGAGGGAACATATAGCTTATTGCCTTTTTTTTTTCCTCTACGCTTTTCCTTTTTTTCCCACCGTCCTCCTTTTATTTCCCCCCTTTTTAACATAATCAGAGGAGCTGGGAGCATGTGTCTGTCTCTGTTTTGGGAGTATTTGCCTGCTTATTGCTAGTGGAAGCTCCCAGACTAAATCAAACCCGGATCAATGCCTAATTTCTCGGCATCACCATCTCTCTTCTTCCCCCCCCCCCTTTCAAGTATTTGTTTTCCTTCAGCCCCAAAATATCGACGATATGTGTATTCGGTATCAAGGCTCGTCGAGTTTCGGAGTCCAAGACGGATAATAAAAGGGGGGAATTTGTCCCCGAATTATCTGTGTGTCGCTTCCTAAATGCTTGTGAGCGGCTCTTAGGAGCCACACCGCCTCGGAGAGATGCTACCTACCTCTGCTGAAATTTCTCTCTCCTTTTTCTTGGCCCTTGCTTTGAACCCTACCCATCAGCCTGTATGCGAATAAAAGGAATGAACGCAGAAAGAACCACCATTCACTGTTGAATTCAAGCACTGTAAAAAAAAAAAATCACTGAAATGCAGCCACATAGCGCCCTTAAGATTATTTCCCTTTCCTAGAAAGTAGCTCCTAACCTCAGATTTCTCCCCCACCCCCCTTCCTTGGTTTTATTCTCCCCTCACCCCCCCTTCCTCCTTGACCACAGCTTTCTCCGATTCGCCTTGGAAAAAAAATTGCATGTGCTGATGTGATGGAGCCCTTTAAGCAACGGGCATGCGAAGGCTGTATTCACTCTGAAACATTAACCCTATTTTCTGAATTTCCTTCCTTTCAAATAGCTGCTCGTATCTTACTATCCTGGATCCCCGATTTAAACATCCGCAGTCCTAGGAGCTTGTTAGATACATCTATATTTTAATTTAATTTAATTTCGGTATTGTACTTAAAACAACAATAAATAAACCCGAGAACTTGTGTTTTCCTTTGCAGAGAGTTTTTTATTCTTCCCCAGAAATTTCATTGAGATGTCTCTGTACTTTGTTTGTCAGTTATCTTTGTTCCTTTTAAATAAAGGGCTTTTAAATGGACTTATTGCTCCCAGCGTGGGTTCTTCTCTCTAAATGTTAGAAAATTGTGCCATCTACCCGCTATTCTAAGTACTGTCACACTCGGAGACCTCCAAGGACCTTCCAGCCCCAACTTCAATACAACTGTGTCAAAGGGTGCCTAGTAGCGAGAGGAGAAAGGTTTGCGTGGATTTTACAGATTTCCAGCCTGAATCGCTCTCTGAAGCGCCAAAATGATCTGCAAAGATGCAGTTGGCTTCCTTTGATGGCTGGCTCTCCGGCCCCAGCTCCAACCCAAGCCTTTGCAGGGACTAATGAAGCCTCCCTGCCTTTAGCTACATCGCACTTTCTCTCCAGTGCATAGTTTTCCTGCTAATTTTAGACACGAAAAGTGTGGGTGTGCAGGGAAAAGGGGGGGGGGAGGCAGTCACTCTGCTGTCGTAATTTTTTTTTTTTTAAGAGAAATAGTCAGATATTTATAGCCATGGCCTCTAATGCTGAAAATATAGTGTTGTTAATTGAAAAAAAAGTTCGCTTGCTGAGGTTGGTTCTGGCTGATTAGCTGGGGATGCTGCTGGCTGTGTTTCCAAGTGAGGGATGAGGAAAACAGAAATGTATATAAACTTTAAAGGCCTTTTTATCGCCACCCCAATACTTTGCACAGTAACCCAGTTCTACCCCATTAGCCCAACAGGAACATTTGTGTTGAGGTTTAAAATTAGATTTCAACATCTTTCTTGCTCGTGGGTAAGTAGAAATAGTTGGGAAGGTGTCTTAATTTTTTTTTTTCCCTTTCTTTTTCCACTAGAAGTTAGAATTAGAAGTGCCTTCTAATTCAGTTAAAATGGATTAACAGTTTGCAAGTTTATGTTATGGTGTAGTTACATGTCTTCGAAATTATTTTTGTACCCCTTAGGAGTACCAGGAGAGAATTGCGAGTGTCAGACGAGTATTTATGTGTGGGGGAAAAAACAGTGATACGCTTTATGACTTTTATGACTTGTTTCACACTGTTCGAGAAATGGAGTTTTAAGCAACATACAATTAAAACTATATCGCTCTTTGGACAAATTCCAAGAAACTCCAGAATCAATTAGTTAAGATCCTTGGATACTTGTTGCAAAAAAAGAAAATATATATATATACACAAAATATCAAAGAGCAAGAACGACCAGCCAAGGACAGTTCTGCTCCAGATGTAATATTTAAGTCCCTGCTATATAGACCAGACAGGCTGCACAGACTCGCTTCTCCGATTTCTCATTTTTCATTTATTCCTGTCAGAATATCCAGGCATCCCAGAATCATTTTTCTCTCCCCTCTTTTTTTTTTTTTTTCCCCGTCCATTCCCCCTTTCGTTCTCTTTCGAGCTTTCCGGGCAGTTTCGCGATCTGGTGTTGCTTTGTTTGGGTTTTTTTCCCCCCTTTGGATACTTCCCAGTGTCTTTTTGACCATTCCGGTGATTATTTCTATTTGTCAGGTACTAGGGTTAAAACCTTATCCTTCTCTACCCACAAACTACCGCGCCGCAGGCGAAGCCAGATTCAGCCACTCTTAATTCCCAGGTTTAAGGATAATCCCAATTTTGAAAGCGGCTTCACCAGCCGCTCTCTTCCCTTGATCACAAACTGTTTAGTCATCTTAAGTGCGATCTTCCCATCCTTCTCCAATGTTTTTTCTTTTCCTTGAGCCAGACCCTTTTCCAGACCACATTTCTCATGGCTGAGGTTCGCCGTGGGAATGGGGCTGCTCCCCACTCGCTGCAGAGCTCTGGCGTTGGGGCCGCAGCGGCTGGGGCTCAGCTCCGGGCATCCCAAATCATCCCACCGCCCTCCGCTTCTTCCTTGGAGATCATTGTCTCTCCCTATTCTTTGCAACGTTTGTTTTTCTGAACAAGAAAGTCGTCCCCGGCTGCAGATGTAAAGGACTCCACTCGCAGGTTTTCCTTCCTACAGAATCTGATCCCATCCAACTTTTGCCTTAACTCCTGTAACATTACTAGTGAACGACCCCCGGAAATTAACTGTACAGCGACCTAAAATTTCATCCTCTCGGTGGACAGTTTCACTGAGCCTTAAAAAGAAGCTAAAAAAATTTGAATCTCACGAAAGTTAATAATAATAATAATAATAATAATAATAATAACAACAACAACAACTACTACTACTCTGACAGAAGCATATGCAATATATCTTGAGGGAAAAGCCTTAAATGAGATATTTGACATCCAGCCTAGTTTTTACATTGACACTGAATGAGGCGCAAAGGAGGAGGGAGAGGAAGGGCTGCCATCCAGCAAAGTTTGCTGGACTTTATTCAGATAAAACTCGATCTTTCCCTCTCTGAAGCCAATGGCGAACTTGTACAATAGGAGGCAGGTCAGAGCACATCACACTGCCCATACTGTCTTCTGAAACATGGGGAGAACCCTGCCACCTCCTTCAGCTGCCTTTTTAAAAAATTATTTTTGTTCTGCTCCACGCCTGATAGACACCCCCTCCCCGCTCGTGTTTTCTATTTCCTAGTCTCTTTATAGGAGGATGATGATTCATTTTGCACTGTCACTATTTCCAGTTTTGTGGGTTTACTGATGTCTTACTTAAAAAAAAAAAAAAAAAAAAGTACACTTTTCCTACCCCAAAGGTCTCATTAGCCTGCGCTGGCTGCTTTTAAGACAGCAGCTCGCTCTCTCTCCTCCAGCTGAATTTGTCCAATCCCTTCATCTTCTCATGTTTTATTTCGAGGTCTCACCGAAAAAAAAAAAAAAAAAAAACAACAAAAACCATTAAATCCCAGAAAGATCAGCCTTTCCTGGCTCTAATATCCCCGCAACCCTCCGGCAACCCCGAGGTTCCGTCCGTAGTCCCGTTACGAGCGGGACTGCGGGATTTGGGAGCCCCCGGGCAGCGGCGGGGCCGGGGCGCAGGGCGGCCGGGGTGAGGGGTCCGCATCCTCCCCCGGGACACCCCGGACCGCAGCCCCCGCACCCCGCCAGGCTGCTGTCAGCACCTTCCGCTCTGTATCTGCTCGCACTCTCTGGAGAGAGCATTAATGTTGTTGATATTATTATTATTGTTGATATTATTATTATTATTAATATTATTATTATTATCATCATCATCATCGATATTCAAATGGGTGCCTGTTTGTCCCCGCCACCAGTGTGTTTCAGAGCGATTATCTCATATCTTTCCTCCAGCAGTAAGCTATCCCTCAGCCCCGGGTCAGGCATTGATCTCTCTGCAATGTAACAAACGGCCGGGTTAATTTTCCCTCATTACCATTTCCATAGCTCAGGCTCCACACACAGGACGGAGCCCTCCAGCCCCGCAGCCGCTGTGTGCGGCTCAGGGCGCGCACACGGACACACACACGGACAGACGGACACACACACATGTGTCGTGACAGCACCCCAAACCCGAGCACCCCGCTCCGAGCACCCCCAGCACCGTGGGGCGCGTTCGCTGCCTTTCTCTCCCGTGTCACCCCGCCTGACCCCCCCTCTTTGTACGGATTTGGGGTTTTCTTTGCGGCTGTATTATTTTTTAAACGTTGTTCTGCTCGCTATAAATTAGAAGGATTTTTTTTTTTCTTTTGCTCACCCCGTTTACTTCTTAATCTTTTTTTTTTTTTTTCCTCGAGTCTTTTCATTCACTGGTTGCAAAAGAAAAGGGGGTTGGTCAACACCAAAATGGCAAAGTTCAGCTTGGAGAAAAAAAAAAAAAAAAAAAACTCCAGCTACCTACAAAGGGGCTCAGGGCTTTGTAATGGCAGAAAGAAACAAAAATGAAAAGAAAATTGCAGTTGAGGCTAAAGTGTGAGAGTGTGTTTGTGTGTATGTATATCTGTGTGTATTTTTAAAGGTTTCTTTGAACTGCCTTTG